TACGATAGTCCCGTCACTCGCCGAAAGAAAACAAGACAAAACGGGCTGGCGCAGCGTTAAACCCATCCTCCCTTGATCCTCCGTCCCATTATCGCGGCGAACAAAACTGTATGTTCACTGTATACAGTAATTACGAGACAACGCCCCTAGACAGTAAGTAATGCTCATGCGTTGTGGCTTGTAGTTACCATTCCATCTAATAAACTCGTTTTCCAGTCGTCACGTTATTGGAGCGGGTGTCGAGGACGAAGACAAGAAAGCGACATGGCTTGAGGATGCTGATTCTTTCGCTAAACAAGGCATGAGCATTACTTACTGTCTAGGGGCGTTGTCTCGTAATTACTGTATATAGTGAACATACAGTTTTGTTCGCCGCGATAATGGGACGGAGGATCAAGGGAGGATGGGTTTAACGCTGCGCCAGCCCGTTTTGTCTTGTTTTCTTTCGGCGAGTGACAGGACTATCGTATTGTTTCCACCAGTTGTTGACGCTTTCCAGCTTCAACTTCGTGGAAAACGGAGCTGGCGGCGTGCCAATCTCGGCCCCCTGTCATGCCCCATCCGCAGCGAAAAAGACTGTATATTGCTGTCATGGCATGGTCATTCATAGCTTGCTTTTGCACTAGAAAATGAGCTGGGTTGTGAGGTCATATACATTTCAGGAGCACTTGCTTGCGCCCGAGCAGTATACGCCCATGCATTGGAGAATATTGAGAAAAGGAAGGGAATCTGGTTGGCTGCTGCTCACTTTGAAAAAACGCATGGAACAATGTGAGTGGTATTATTCCTGGCAATGCAACTTGAATCATTCCTTGGGTTGTTTGAGCTAATTTCTTGAATATCCTTTTTTCAGACAAGAATACGAGAAGGTCCTGGAGGATGCGACGGCTTCTTGCCCACAAGTTGAAGTGCTGTGGCTGATGTACGCTAAGTCCAGATGGCTGCATGGTGATGTCGCCGGAGCTCGAGAAATTCTGGCAAAGGTAAACCTTTGGTTGCTCAATTTCCTTGGGCGTTCGTTCTTTTTCCTAAGAACCGTGAAAGATATGAAATCATCCAATAAAAGTCCAACTGAATTGATTAGCGCTTTACAGGCCTTTGAGCATAACGCTAATTCTGAAGGAATCTGGATGGCTGCCGTGAAACTGGAATCAGAAAATAACGAGTTCGCACGTGCTCGTCGTCTTCTCGAAAAAGCTCGACGTAACGCCCCTTCTGCCAGGATATGGATGAAAAGCGCTCGTCTTGAGTGGTGCTTAGGTGATCTGGAGAAAGCCAAAGAGCTCATCAGGGAAGGGATGTCCAAGTAGGTTTCCGCTGTTTTCATGAAATTGTGTGGTTATGAGTGTTCAAAATGAAGTTCCCAAAAGTAGTGGCATATAGTTTGAGAATAATTCTTCATTCGGATGTCATCAGGCCGAGTAGTTGAGTCTCTCTTTTAGTTGAGTGGGGGTTTTCCTGCTCTTGTTAAACAACTTATGGACCACTGCCTGTCAAAATTTCTTTTTTGACTTTAGACCGGTTCTAAGTTTTGCCGAATGAGCCTATGTTAAGTACCGTAGAAGCTTGGGTCGCGCTTTAGTAATAGAACAAAGGCTACGCGGCAAATTACGCCTGTAAGCCTATATACAGTTTAGAGTTGTTACCCATCCATGGCGTGGTTCGGCTTGGAGGGGAGCTGTTCCAAATGGTTCACAGCTAATCTCGTACGGGCCACCATCTGAAGACCTATCCTACTATATATAATCCGCTAAGTTTTGTTGGTGTGAGTATGTGTGTGTATGTTTGTGCGTGTTTTTGACCGGAAATCCATAACTTTCTTCAAAATAGCGATAAAGCGCTAATAAGTGATGTAGGGAGTGTAAATCGCAGGAACATATTGTGGGTGCAGGTAAGTGATAAGAGCTGATAAGCATACCACAAGGGGCCCTCACAAAAGAGTGACTACCTAACTAAATCCCGCCGACAGCAACGACGGGTATGTGGGTTCCAGAAAGTTAGATAGGGGGCCAGGAGGGGAACATTATTGTGGGTTGGGCAAAAGGAACGTGATTAACAGTATAATAAGCTGTTATCACGTCGCCTGCAGCCACCAGTCTGAGTAAACTTCAGCCAAGCGCGGTGCTCATGGAACATATGGTTAGAGGCTTGTGATCAGTATTCTATGCGCCTTAGCCATATGGCTTACGAGCGGCTAGCTCTCGAGTTTCGACGAAAATTAAAAGCTCTGGAAGCTGCTCAACGGAAGTACTAGGATGTGAGAAATGTGAGGATATATCACCATGATATCGATGTTATTACCATCAAAAGTCTTTCAACCGCTAAGCTGTCCTATTTCCAACGGATGGTGAGTGTTTCTTCAGAAATGTGATAAGCACCAGACATTAGCAAACGTTCATTAAATAGGAGAATCATAATGAAATAGGCCGTATTCTAAAAAATTGTAATCGGGCGAAGTGTTCGGGGTCAATACAGGAATCCTGTCAGCGCAGTACCATTACCATAGGTTCAACCATACGCGCAGTAGTGCGCGTCAGCCAAGCTTGTAAAAATAAAGTGGCGACTAAAGGTTCACTTGCCTCATTCCGTAGCTTCGCAGGTGTTTACAGTTTCGCGAATGTGAGAACGGTTATTTACCAGGAACTAAAAAATCGAACTAGCGAAAGTGCAAAATGCCCTTCCAAGCCGACAGCGTCCGCCCCTCCTCCTCCAGCTATCAGGTAACAGTAGACGATCCCAGAAGAACAGGAGGACTGGTCAACCAGCAAAATGTGCTCGGGGATTGGGTTTAGGGTAGTGTGCAACCGAATAGGTATATCTTAATGGTTCACCCTCCTTTTTATCCAGCAAGGACTATGAAACGAATATTCCATGGTTCAGATATGTGCAAAAAATCTTTGCCGCCATAAGTTTTTCTACATGATGTTGGGGCAAATTCTGCTTCAAGAGGATAACCATGAGGAGGCTAGAAAGGTCTTCACTGAAGGAGTGAGTTTATTCGTCCGTCTATTTCAGATGGCATCAGCATTTGTTATTTCCAGATCAAGAGATGCCCTGGAGCTGTTCCTCTTTGGATACTTTTAAGTCGCCTAGAAGAATCACAAAAGCAAATCATCAAAGCCAGATCTGATTTGGAAAAGGTGAGATCGCCTCGGTGTTCTCCTAGTTTTGGTTAAGGTTAAAAGTATCAATATATTTGCCGGTGCAGTTTAGGAAGAGGGGGGGGGGAGCATTTTGCACTTCCGCTGCTTCCCATCGCAATATCTTGTATTTCGGATATCAGTTCTTAGATTACCTCTATGACTTTTTAGGCTCGTATTCGCAATCCACGAAATGAAGATCTTTGGCTGGAAGCTGTACGTCTTGAGATGCGCGCTGGTTTGCGTGAGCTTGCTTCTGAAAGATTAGCAAGAGCCCTTCAGGAGTGTGAAAGTTCAGGTAAAATGCTAATTCAAATCATGTTCGAGCAGAAGTGAAAGTAATTCGCATTTTAGGACGGCTTTGGGCGGAAGCAATTTGGATGGAAGAGCGCCACGGCCGGCGTTCTAAATCGGTAGATGCCCTCAAACGATGTGAGCACAATCCGCATGTCCTTGTGGCCGCTGCTCGATTGTTCTGGTCTGAAAGAAAGGCAAGTTTTCAATTCACGAGAGCAGTCAGTTCAACTGAAGTTTTCAAAAACGGAACACTTTAAAATTAATTTTTCGTGATATGAATCTCCGAAATCAACGAAGCATATGTTTTTCCGAATGCAGTCATGTGTTTAAGGTGAAAAAGGCTCGTGAGTGGTTCCAACGGGCAATTAATGTCGATCCAGACAACGGAGATGCATATGCGCATTGCTACAAGTTTGAGCTGTTGCTTGGAACGGAGGTTTGAAATTTTCCCATAGTTCATTATATTTTCGGCGCTTTTTTTAAGCTCGAGCCGGCAGAATCAAGGAAATCTTGCCCCACTGAGAGGAAGAGCGTAAGCGGCCGGTGTCCCCCAATTCCAGAGCTCCTCCGTCTGGATAATACAGCCCTTAGACTCGCGTCGACGCGCTGTAAGGCGTTGTAACGCGCGACACGCGCTAAATTGCAACAACGCTCTAAAACTATGGACGCGAAAGCAGCACGGACGGCTAGTGCCGATCGGTATTTTTCTGCGTGTCTAGGCAACACCTACCATCCTATTTCCCCGTACTCTCTAGAAACGCAGGCAGCCGGCGCCCATCGATTCGGTTCGGCCGACATCTGCCGCTGCGTCCACGTCGAGCTTTGTTGTAATGGTAGCTCTGGAACATTGTTGTAATTATAGCGCGGGGCGCTTTACAGCGCGTCGGAGCAGGTCATCGCGATGTTACGGCTCGTTAAAGCACGTCATCGCGAAGTCTGCACGCTGCCATGGCGCCATATTTTCTTAATTTTTACACCGTTGACTCCTTGTCTGAATGATGTTGGTATTGGGAGTGGTGCAGTAAATTCCAGCGGCGACTAGGGTTTAGAGAGCGCCAGAAACAGAATGTGAGCGCTCTATCCCTAACTCCCAACTACAGCAGCACCCTGTTTTCAAAGTGCAGCTCATTCCAGGAAGAACAACAGAAAGTGATCAAGAAATGCGAAGACGCGGAGCCGCGACATGGTGAATTATGGGTAGCCGTCTCAAAAGATCCAAAACACTGGCGGAAGCAAACTGCAGAAATTTTGAAGACGGTTGTTACCAATATTCCAATTCCTGTATAGATTTGAATGTTAAATAATAATTGTGCAAGTATTGTGAATAGTGCTTAATTGTTTGTTTTGTTGTGAATTTGTTGTTATCATGAAGGATCTTCCAGTCAATGCATTCTTGGAGACTTTTACGAGATGCCAGCTTGTTCCGTTTTCCGATGTGTTTGGAGCGGTAATAAAGTACTACAATCTTACACTGGAGAAACTGCTCGGCCTATCTGATTTATGGATACTTTCTTGGTAGTTTCTATCGCGAGAAACTTGCCAAGAATCATCCTTCCCCTGTTTTGCTCCGTCCTGGTAAGGGTCAGGACATCCGAGCTGCGGCAGCGCAGCGTCGCAAGGGAGATGCGTGCGCAGCATATGCGCCGCGGTCGCTGCAAGGAAGAGTTACCACGATATCGCGCATACGAAATGATTGGTCCCTGCAGCACCTAGTTTGTACTCAACGGCGCAAATCGGACCTTCTGACCCCACGCTCAGGGGACTGCTCTGACACGAATTTCTTGGAAGTTGGATGAAAAACATATTTCTACTGGTTCCATTCTGCCTTCTCCTCGTTTACGTCTCTGCATTCTGGGTTCTTCTCTTTCCAGCTAACAAGGGAGGTCGTTCAGGCCGTGGTGAGCTTTTTCAAAACGGTTTGTTGCATGTTGTAGGGGTCCATGCGAGGACCACAGCGATGGGGTTCATTTTTGCTAAACGGTACTGGGAATGTCAAAAAAAGGTGGAAAATAGCCAATATAGTCGTGAAAAACGCAAGTGGAGATTCCATGAAGATATATGGAAAGCTTAAATGCAAGATTACCATGAAAGGTGTCACTACTGAAGGAGACGTGTGACGCCGCACAACTCACTCCTGGGACTCGAGTGGATTCGAGCAAATGATTATTTGACGTACCACATAG